AGTAGAGACTGTATACTGTATCCAATCTATCTGTAGTATTGACTGTATACTGTATCCAATCTATCTGTAGTGGAGACTGTATACTGTATCCCATCTATCTGTAGTATTGACTGTATACTGTATCCAATCTATCTGTAGTGGAGACTGTATACTGTATCCAATCTATCCCCAAGGGATGTGCGTGGCGAAAAACGTCAATTTTCAAATTCATAAATGGAGATATGGATGCTGGGACCTACAGCTGATGAGATGATAGTTCATATTTTGAAGCTATACGTTATATGTTCAGCAATTACAGTTGAGTAATACAACCTTATGTTTTAGGTTGTGATATGGTATGTTTAAAGCTTATCAAGTTCAATTCTTCAAATATCTAAAATGGGCATGCATCGCTTTAAAGGGCAATTCCATACCAGTAACTACATATGCGAAAACGGTGCGATTCTATGTTCAGCGGTTAAAAAGTTAAGAAAAAGCTCCTAACAAAGTCCTACCTGATGACATCGTTAAAGAATAAGTGGGGGATTACGTTTTTTTTTTTTAAGCGCTTTTCAAAACCTGCAACGAGTTTCTAGCGAGAGGGCATTTTCATGCTGTATCTGTCGTAGTGACTGTATACTGTATCCAATCTAATCTATCTGTAGTAGAGACTGTATACTGTATCCAATCTATCTGTAGTAGTGACTGTATACTGTATCCAATCTATCTGTAGTAGTGACTGTATACTGTATCCAATCTATCTGTAGTAGAGACTGTATACTGTATCCAATCTATCTGTAGTAGAGACTGTATACTGTATCCAATCTATCTGTAGTAGTGACTGTATACTGTATCCAATCTAACAGTAGTAGTGACTGTATACTGTATCCAATCTATCTGTAGTAGTGACTGTATACTGTATCCAATCTATCTGTAGTAGTGACTGTATACTGTATCCAATCTAACAGTAGTAGTGACTGTATACTGTATCCAATCTAACAGTAGTAGTGACTGTATACTGTATCCAATCTAACAGTAGTAGAGACTGTATACTGTATCCAATCTATCTGTAGTAGTGACTGTATACTGTATCCAATCTATCTGTAGTAGTGACTGTATACTGTATCCAATCTATCTGTAGTAGTGACTGTATACTGTATCCAATATATCTGTAGTAGTGACTGTATACTGTATCCAATCTATCTGTAGTAGTGACTGTATACTGTATCCAATCTATCTGTAGTAGTGACTGTATACTGTATCCAATCTATCTGTAGTAGAGACTGTATACTGTATCCAATCTATCTGTAGTAGAGACTGTATACTGTATCCAATCTATCTGTAGTAGTGACTGTATACTGTATCCAATCTATCTGTAGTAGTGACTGTATACTGTATCCAATCTATCTGTAGTAGTGACTGTATACTGTATCCAATCTATCTGTAGTAGTGACTGTATACTGTATCCAATCTATCTGTAGTAGTGACTGTATACTGTATCCAATCTATCTGTAGTAGTGACTGTATACTGTATCCAATCTATCTGTAGTAGTGACTGTATACTGTATCCAATCTATCTGTAGTAGTGACTGTATCCAATCTATCTGTAGTAGTGACTGTATACTGTATCCAATCTATCTGTAGTGGAGACGGTATACTGTATCCAATCTATCTGTAGTAGAGACTGTATACTGTATCCAATCTATCTGTAGTAGAGACTGTATACTGTATCCAATCTATCTGTAGTAGAGACGGTATACTGTATCCAATCTATCTGTAGTAGAGACTGTATACTGTATCCAATCTATCTGTAGTAGAGACTGTATACTGTATCCAATCTATCTGTAGTAGAGACGGTATACTGTATCCAATCTATCTGTAGTAGAGACTGTATACTGTATCCAATCTATCTGTAGTAGAGACTGTATACTGTATCCAATCTATCTGTAGTAGTGACTGTATACTGTATCCAATCTATCTGTAGTAGTGACTGTATCCAATCTATCTGTAGTAGTGACTGTATACTGTATCCAATCTATCTGTAGTAGTGACTGTATACTGTATCCAATCTGTAGTAGTGACTGTATACTGTATCCAATCTATCTGTAGTAGTGACTGTATACTGTATCCAATCTATCTGTAGTAGTGACTGTATACTGTATCCAATCTATCTGTAGTAGTGACTGTATACTGTATCCAATCTATCTGTAGTAGAGACGGTATACTGTATCCAATCTATCTGTAGTAGAGACGGTATACTGTATCCAATCTATCTGTAGTAGAGACGGTATACTGTATCCAATCTATCTGTAGTAGAGACTGTATACTGTATCCAATCTATCTGTAGTAGTGACGGTATACTGTATCCAATCTATCTGTAGTAGTGACTGTATACTGTATCCAATCTATCTGTAGTAGTGACTGTATAATGTATCCAATCTATCTGTAGTAGTGACTGTATACTGTATCCAATCTATCTGTAGTAAAGACTGTATACTGTATCCAATCTATCTGTAGTAGAGACGGTATACTGTATCCAATCTATCTGTAGTAGAGACGGTATACTGTATCCAATCTATCTGTAGTAGAGACTGTATACTGTATCCAATCTATCTGTAGTAGTGACTGTATACTGTATCCAATCTATCTGTAGTAGAGACGGTATACTGTATCCAATCTATCTGTAGTAGAGACGGTATACTGTATCCAATCTATCTGTAGTAGAGACTGTATACTGTATCCAATCTATCTGTAGTAGTGACTGTATACTGTATACCCCCAGCCTGTAGGCTATAGGATCTAGTACTGTAGATGTTTTCTGTTGCATCTGTTGCCATAGTGCGAAACATCACTTTACAATTGTGGTTCAGAAAACACTTCAAAATGTGATCCACTTTAATAAGTAGTATTTACAATATGTACACTTTAGCACAATAACACCAACTTTATTACCACTACTATGTCCAATTTCATTGTCGATTAGTACATATTTACATTTGTTACTAATAAGACCATATTATATTGTAAAATGACAAAAAAAAAAAAAAAAAACAGACATGATAAACATTTTAAAGTATGCGTGCCTGGTTTCATATTAGTTTGACTGAGACCGTGGTCCAGCGTTATGTGTGAACAAGTTCACTGGTGCATCATGGTCCCAATACTTTGATCAATACCGTTAAAAACACAGCTGGCCGTGATAGCACATTGTTCGGGTACACCCAGTCAGTTATCCATATCAAAACAGTTCAAAGGTATCCCAGTCCATATGACATGTATGCTAATTCTAGGGGGGGGGGGGGGGGGGGGGATCTTACGGGTTCAAACCATACGTGTCTTCCTCCATCTTTGTAAAGACAACCTAATATTCACATTTGGTCTTCAGCTTTCAGTGGAGGCGGCTCGACGACTCTCAACTCCCTCACTTTCTCAGGTCTTTCTCAGTCATTTCCCAACAGATTGAAATAAAGTGTTTAAAAACTCGGATTCTCCAGCACTTCTAGGCCCATTGTTTCCTAATCCAGGGCCTGTATCTGAACTCCTTTTAAGCCCGTTGTTTCCTAATCCAGGGCCTGTATCTGAACTCCTTCTAGGCCCGTTGTTTCCTAATCCAGGGCCCGTATCTGAACTCCTTCTAGGCCCATTGTTTCCTAATCCAGGGCCCGTATCTGAACTCCTTCTAGGCCCATTGTTTCCTAATCCAGGGCCCGTATCTGAACTCCTTCTAGGCCCATTGTTTCCTAATCCAGGGCCTGTATCTGAACTCCTTCTAGGCCCGTTGTTTCCTAATCCAGGGCCCGTATCTGAACTCCTTCTAGGCCCGTTGTTTCCTAATCCAGGGCCCGTATCTGAACTCCTTCTAGGCCCATTGTTTCCTAATCCAGGGCCCGTATCTGAACTCCTTCTAGGCCCGTTGTTTCCTAATCCAGGGCCCGTATCCACAAAGCGTCTCAGAGTAGAAAGTTGGTGGTAAGTGCTGAGAATATAAATATTTTACTCCTCCTCTGATGGGTAAAAAAACAAGCTAGGCATTAAACCTCTTTAGTGATATGAGTCCTACGTAGTGGACAGATATTTAGGAGACCTCATGAGCTGACCTGACCAGTTCAGAGTTACCAGCAGGTGTCTTGGTAATTTAAAAAAGGCCTGCAACATTGTTCAAAAAAATATGTCTAAGTAATAAATTGGGAAAATGATAAAACTTTCAAAAATGTTATGCAACACTATCGGCAAGCGACTTGATGCCTACAGTACTGTACCAAAGCTATTTAGAGTAGTTATCCGGGAGTTAAGAGTGTTGACATAGCGGCAATATTATAAAAATTCCACTTTTAACAAACATCAGAATTGGTTAAAAAAAAAGGTTATGTATGCCAACATATTAGGCAATAATTAGGAGTAGGCAAAGTGATCAGGTCAGACAAATTATATCAAACTTTTACCATTGCAACATTTGATGTACAGTCACATTCACCTTGGTTGGTCTGAATCGTGCTGTAGAGATCACAGCTGGCAATGCCTCATCGTGATTGGTTATTCCCCATCATTTGCAACAATGTCAATGAGCGTCATCACCATCCTTCCTTTGCGGTACCTCCAACTGTCGTGATTACCAGCTGAGATAAACTTTCACGAGTTGATTTTACTCCTGGCTCAGAGTTTGTCTGGGCAGTGTCTTAACATCATCCTAAAAGCTACTCTGGTAGCTGGGAGTATTTTTGGGTCTTAAAAACAGGTTAACAGTATTCCTAAGACCATTTCTGAGACGCTATGTGGATATGTCCCCTGGTCAGAGAAGACATTTCAACTAATCCCAGTTAATTCTCTTCTTGACTCTTTGATGAAGACAACACTGCATTACTGGGCGACAGGGCTTGGACTGGTGCTGCACACCTGGTACATCTCTAAGGTCAGGTCAGAGGTCAGGTAAACTCGGTCGAAGAACCAGCAGACTGCACTTCTCCAGGGTGAGAATAGGGTCACTCCAGATCGTAGAAGACAGTTTGAAAGCGAGATAACTATCTAACAGAGTACCCTGCTCTCTCCCTCCTGCCTTGCTTCTTCAGTAGCTGAATGCGGTTGTGGCAGTAGAACTTGATGGCCCTCCAGTCGCGCTGGTTGCTGACCAGCAGGGGACACAGCTGCAGGCAGCGCTCGCAGTCCGCCTTGGCTGGCACGCGGAGCTCCATGATGTTCCTCTTCAGGTGCGTCTCCACGGCGACGCGCTCCGCCTCCGACCAGGGCCGCTTCAGCACCCCACGCTTCCCTGGGAACACAGGACAGAGTCATGAACATCAATTTCCCAATTCCAAATCCATCCCCACCGAGCACCTAGCCCCTAAACACTTGTGTATACTGTATATATTTATGATACATCAAAGTTTTGATCTCCTTACATATTTTTGTATAGTTTAAAAAGTATATATATATATATATATATATATATATATAAGTACAGGTTGGTATATAGAGAAGGAGTACAAAAAGTAGCCAGTCACCTGACCAAGGGCTCGAGGGGGCATGTGTGGTCCGGCACACTTGAGTAGATTTGAAAGGGCTCGATAGGTGTGAGGAAGTTACCGATTGGCTTGTCGAGTCCCTCAATTTTTTCAACATTTCTGATGCTAGCACACGTCGGCTTGCATGGATGTAGCGCAATAATGGGTTTTCGAAGCGGCTATTGTTCAGACACATTCACCCAAATAGGCATGAATAGGTAAAGCTATCGGGTAGGAAACATTCCATGGTACATGCCTGACTTGGGCTGAATGATTCTCCTATTGTGGGCACCAGGGAGCGAAGGGTTGACAGAGGAGGGAGGGGGTGCCTTCTTGCGGGGGGGTCGACCTGGTCGCTTCTTCACCACCTTCTCCTTAAACTTCTCTGCCTCCCCGTCCGAGTCGTCTGAGAAGGACTCAGCAGAGTTCCCGGACATCACTGTTGGGTAGGGTAGAAGACAGAGAGAGCACGTTGGGTAGGGGTAGAAGACAGAGAGCACGTTGGGTAGGGGTAGAAGACAGAGAGAGCACGTTGGGTAGGGGTAGAAGACAGAGAGAGCACGTTGGGTAGGGGTAGAAGACAGAGAGAGCATGTTGGGTAGGGGTAGAAGACAGAGAGCACGTTGGGTAGGGGTAGAAGACAGAGAGCACGTTGGGTAGGGGTAGAAGACAGAGAGCACGTTGGGTAGGGTAGAAGACAGAGAGAGCACGTTGGGTAGGGGTAGAAGACAGAGAGAGCACGTTGGGGTAGGGTAGAAGACAGAGAGCACGTTGGTGTAGGGTAGAAGACAGAGCACGTTGGGTAGGGTAGAAGACCGAGAGAGCACGTTGGGTAGGGTAGAAGACAGAGAGAGCACGTTGGGTAGGGTAGAAGACAGAGAGCACGTTGGGTAGGGGTAGAAGACAGAGCACGTTGGGTAGGGGTAGAAGACAGAGAGCACGTTGGGTAGGGGTAGAAGACAGAGAGAGCATGTTGGGTAGGGTAGAAGACAGAGAGAGCACGTTGGGTAGGGTAGAAGACAGAGAGAGCACGTTGGGTAGGGTAGAAGACAGAGAGCACGTTGGGTAGGGGTAGAAGACAGAGAGAGCACGTTGGGTAGGGGTAGAAGACAGAGAGAGCACGTTGGGTAGGGTAGAAGACAGAGAGCACGTTGGGTAGGGGGAGAAGACAGAAAAGCACGTTGGTAGGGGTAGAAGACAGAGAGAGCACGTTGGGTAGGGTAGAAGACAGAGAGAGCAACGCGTTGGGTAGGGGTAGAAGACAGAGAGAGCACTTTGGGTAGGGGTAGAAGACAGAGAGCACGTTGGTAGAAGACAGAGAGAGCACGTTGGGTAGGGTAGAAGACAGAGAGCACGTTGGGTAGGGGTAGAAGACAGAGAGCACGTTGGGTAGGGTAGAAGACAGAGAGAGCACGTTGGGTAGGGTAGAAGACAGAGAGCACGTTGGGTAGGGGTAGAAGACAGAGAGAGCACAACAACAGGAATATAACACATATACAACATGCTTTGTTCATTCACTATCACCTGCCATTACAATGTAAAAGGCTTGGAGACTCAGGGCAAGGTTTTCCTCTGGCATTTACGTAATGAGCAAACCAGAACATATCACACAGACGAGATGTCCGTTAACAATATCTGTGAAGGACAGATGGTTGTACGGCAGGCAATGCAATTACAAGGTGCCCTTTTCAGAGTTCCCATCTATTTAGAATGTTCCGGTAAGTTTGCTCCCATCTGTGTCAGAGCGGGAGGAGAATCACCCTTCATGTCACCTCGGTGTAAAGCTCTAAACTAGCAATCACTTACTACTGCTTTATTACCAACTTACAAATAGTAAACATACCGCTAGTGAGCATGACCAGCATACTTGTTAGTAAACATACCGCTAGTGAGCATGACCAGCATACTTGTTAGTAAACATACCGCTAGTGAGCATGACCAGCATACTTGTTAGTAAACATACCGCTAGTGAGCATGACCAGCATACTTGTTAGTAAACATACCGCTAGTGAGCATGACCAGCATACTTGTTAGTAAACATACCGCTAGTGAGCATTACAATTACATTTTAGTCATTTAGCAGACGCTCTTATCCAGAGCGACTTACAGTTAGTGAGTGCATACATTTTCATACTGGCCCCCCGTGGGAATCGAACCCACAACCCTGGCATTGCAAGCGCCATACTCTACCAGCTGAGCTACAGGGGACTGCATACTTGTTAGTAAACATACCGCTAGTGAGCATGACAAGCATATTTGTTAGTAAACATGACCAGCATACTTGTTAGTAAACATGACCAGCATACTTGTTAGTAAATATGACCAGCATACTTGTTAGTAAACATGACCAGCATACTTGTTAGTAAATATGACCAGCATACTTGTTAGTAAACATGACCAGCATACTTGCTAGTGAGCATGACCAGCATACTTGTTAGTAAACATGACCAGCATACTTGTTAGTAAATATGACCAGCATACTTGTTAGTAAACATGACCAGCATACTTGCTAGTGAGCATGACCAGCATACTTGTTAGTAAACATGACCAGCATACTTGCTAGTAAACATGACCAGCATACTTGCTAGTAAACATGACCAGCATACTTGCTAGTAAACATGACCAGCATACTTGCTAGTAAACATGACCAGTATACTTGCTAGTAAACATGACCAGCATACTTGCTAGTAAACATGACCAGCATACTTGCTAGTAAACATAGCCCTAGTGAGCATGACCAGCATACTTGTTAGTAAACATAGCCCTAGTGAGCATGACCAGCATACTTGGTGTTAAACATGACCAGCATACTTGGTGTTAAACATAGCCCTAATGAGCATGACCAGCATACTTGGTGTTAAACATGACCAGCATACTTGGTGTTAAACATAGCCCTAGTGAGCATGACCAGCATACTTGGTAGTAAACATGACCAGCATACTTGGTGTTAAACATAGCCCTAGTGATCATGACCAGCATACTTGCCATGCCTCCCTTGTTAGCAAAGCTATCATTACTCTACTGCCGTTTCCACCTCTCCTCCATCCCAATGAGATGGGGAGATGCCTAATTCACATCTAAAATGCAACTATTCTCCGTCATGAACAGAACCCCCCCCAACTCTCTGATTAGGGATGGAGTTCTGCGATGGATTAGCTTGGTCACGCCAGAGCCCAGTTCCCTGTAGTACCCCCTTACCATCCCTGTAGTACCCCCTTACCATCCCTGTAGTACCCCCTTACCATCCCTGTAGTGCCCCCTTACCACCCAGTTCCCTGTAGTACCCCCTTACCATCCCTGTAGTGCCCCCTTACCATCCCTGTAGTAGCCCCCCCTTACCATCCCTGTAGTGCCCCTTACCATCCCTGTAGTACCCCCTTACCACCCTTCCGTAGTACCCCCTTACCCCATCCCTGTAGTACCCCCTTACCATCCCTGTATGCCCCCTTACCATCCCTGTAGTACCCCTTACCACCCTTGACCACCCAGTTCCCTGTAGTACCCCCTTACCATCCCTGTAGTGCCCCCTTACCACCCAGTTCCCTGTAGTACCCCCTTACCATCCATGTTCCCTTACCACCCTTACCCCCACCTGCAGTTTCCCCTGTAGTGCCCCTACCCCCCCTTACCATCCCTGTAGTGCCCCCCTTACCACCCAGTTCCCTGTAGTACCCCCTTACCATCCCTGTAGTGCCCCCTTACCACCCAGTTCCCTGTAGTACCCCTTTACCATCCCTGTAGTGCCCCTTAACCATCCCTGTAGTAGCCCCCTTACCATCCCTGTAGTGCCCCCTTACCACCCTCCTGTAGTCCCCCTTACCATCCCTGTAGTGCCCCCCTTAACCAGTCCCTGTAGTGCCCCTTTACCATCCCTGTAGTGACCCCCTTACCATCCCTGTAGTACCCCCTTTACCATCCCTGTAGTGCCCCCCTTACCATCCCTGTAGTGCCCCCTTACCATTCCCTGTAGTACCCCCTTACCACCCAGTTCCCTTACACCCTGTAGTACCCCCTACCCCTTACCCCCTTTCCATCCCTGTAGTGCCCCCTTTACCATCCCTGTAGTGCCCCCCTTACCATCCCTGTTACACCCCTACCTTACCCCATCCCTGTGGCCCTTACCATCCCTGTAGTGCCCCTTACCATCCCTGTAGTACCCCCTTACCATCCCTGTAGTAGCCCCCTTACCATCCCCTGTAGTACCCCCCCTTCACCCGATCCCCTTACCACCCCTGTGTACCCCCTTACCACCCAGTTCCCTGTAGTAGCCCCTTACACCCATTCCCTGTAGTGCCCCTTTACCATCCCTGTAGTGCCCCCTTCCCATCCCGTATCCTACCTCCGTATACCCCCCTTACCATCCCTGTAGTGCCCCTTACCATCCCTGTAGTCGCCCCCTTACCATCCCTGTAGTACCCCCTTACCATCCCTGTAGTGCCCCCTTACCACCCAGTTCCCTGTAGTACCTACCCTTACCATCCCTGTAGTGCCCCCTTACCATCCCTGTAGTGCCCCCTTACCACCCAGTTCCCTGTAGTACCCCCCCCTTACCACCCAGTTCCCTGTAGACCCCCCCTTACCATCCCTGTAGTGCCCCCTTACCATCCCTGTAGTGCCCCCCTTACCCCCCCCAGTTCCCTGTAGTACCCCCTTACCATCCCTGTAGTGCCCCCTTACCATCCCTGTAGTACCCCCTTACCACCCAGTTCCCTGTAGTACCCCCTTACCATCCCTGTAGTACCCCCTTACCATCCCTGTAGTGCCCCTTTAACCATCCTGTAGTGCCCCCTTACCATCCCTGTAGTGGCCCCCATTACCACCCAGTTCCCTGTAGTACCCCCTTACCATCCCTGTAGTGCCCCCTTACCACCCAGTTTCCCTGTAGTACCCCCCTTACCAATCCCTGTAGTACCCCCCCTTACCATCCCTGTAGTGTCCCCCTTACCATCCCTGTAGTGCCCCCTTTACCATCCCTGTAGTGCCCCCTTACCATCCCTGTAGTAACCCCCTACCATCCCTGTAGTACCCCCCCTTACCATCCCTGTAGTGCCCCCTTAACCATCCCTGTAGTTGCCCCCTTACCACCCAGTTCCCTGTAGTACCCCCTTACCATCCCTGTAGTGCCCCTTTACCATCCCTGTAGTGCCCCCTTACCATCCCTGTAGTACCCCCCTTACCATCCCTGTAGTACCCCCCCTTACCATCCCTGTAGTGCCCCCTTACCATCCCTGTAGTTACCCCCCCCTTACCATCCCTGTAGTGCCCCCTTACCATCCCTGTAGTACCCCCTTACCATCCCTGTAGTGCCCCCTTACCATCCCTGTAGTACCCCCTTACCATCCCTGTAGTGCCCCCTTACCACCCAGTTCCCTGTAGTACCCCCTTACCATCCCTGTAGTACCCCCTTACCATCCCTGTAGTACCCCCTTACCATCCCTGTAGTGCCCCCTTACCATCCCTGTAGTACCCCCTTACCATCCCTGTAGTACCCCCTTACCACCCAGTTCCCTGTAGTGCCCCCTTACCATCCCTGTAGTGCCCCCTTACCATCCCTGTAGTACCCCCTTACCATCCAGCTCCAGACAGATGTGCTGCAGGCTCATCCCTCTGAAGAGCACCCCCTCCCGCTCCCCATAGAGCACCACCCTGCCCACTCGGCCCATCAGCGCCGGGTCTCGGCCTATCGTGGCACAGTTCTGGGTCACGTGGTACTCCCTCTGCAGGAAGTCTTCCAGGCGCTTGGCGGCCGCCCCGCCCGGCCGGCCCTGCCCCTCCCCTTCCTCCAGGAGCAGTAGCTGGGTGAGAATGGCCACCTGCCGGCGCGCCCGCGTCTGGGTCAGCGCCCTGGGGTTCTTGGCGCCGCTGGCCCGTGCCAGGTTGCGCAGCACGTCGGTGCCCCGGAGCGGCGTGGCGGGCGAGTGGAAGGGCCGGGAGAAGACGTAGGGGCTGTCGGGGTCGACGCCCACGTTGGCGGAGGTCTGAAGGAGCAGCTCCAGGCAGGGCTCACAGTGCGGGGGCAGGACGAGGGGCTGGATACGCCCACGCTTCCCCAGCACACCTGCCCGGGGGAGGTGGCAGAGGACCTGATGCTCGAAGGGGGAGAGGATGGCCTCCATGCCGGTGGGGGGGTTGTTGGCCGAGTTAGCCTGGGTCGGGGTGACGCGGTTGTGGTAGTCCTGGGTGGTGAGCTGCGCCACCTCACACTCGCGGTGGCGGTTATAGAGGATGATCAGCGCTAGGCTGGAATGGCAGAGCAGGCGCCAGGCCTCAGGCGAACTGGAGGAGCGAGACAGAGATAAGAAGGAGGAGTGCTGCTGCCGGCGGAGGTAGAGCACCAGGCAGGAGAGAGAGGAGAGGAGAGGGGGCATGTGGTGTCTGTGGGAGCTAGAGAAAAGAGAGAGAGAAGACGAGAGAGAGAGAGAGAGAGACAGAGAGAGAGAGAGAGACAAAAAGAGAGAGAGAGAGAGAGAGACAGAGAGACAGAGAGAGAGAGAGACAGAGAGAGAGACAGAGAGAGAGTGAGATAGAGAGAGAGAGACAGACAGAGATACAGATAGAGACAAAAAGAGAGAGAGAGAGAGAGAGAGACAGAGACAGAGAGAGACCACAAAAGAGAGAGAGAGAGAGAGACAGAGAGACAGAGAGAGAGAGAGACAGAGAGATGAGACAAGAGAGAAGTGATAGAGCGAGAGAGAGAGACACAAAAGATGAAGAGAGAGAGAGATAGAGAGAGAGAGAGCGAGAGAGAGAACAAAAGAGAGAGAGACAGAGAGAGAGAGACAGAGACAAAAAGAGAGAGAGACAGAGAGAGAGAGAGTTTTAAAATACATGTCAAAACATATATAATATTTGAAAGCAAAACAAATTTTTCTCAGTTGAAAAACAATATCCCACGTATACGCTTAGGGATAAAAATATATGTTTTGAGCAAAATAGTATTTTTTTTTTGACAACTCCAAACTTCATGGAGTAGGCCATTCAAGGAGTTGGTGTGATGATGGCCTCTGATGTCATCGGCCTTCACCCTTGCTTGAGAACAATAGAGTACAGAAGAGGAGCCCCCCCCCCCACGCCGTGTCAAGAGGACACCTGGACCAGCTATTGAGATGTGCTTTTTGTTAAGTAAATCAGATGATAAAGGAGCTGAAAAGCAGACTGGAGGACTTTAACTTCTTTATCACACATAGCCATTATAATAATGATAGAATGGCATTTCTCAAGCAGTTTCAATTCAGAACTTCGTATGTCACATTTCATTTAGGCCAATGCAGCAGAACCATATTATCCATCATACCTAGCCACCTGTGCACTCCTGTCCCCAGGACTCTCTACTGTCCTGTCCTCATCCAGCTCTTCTTCCTCCGGCTTGGGGGTAGGAGGTGGAGGAATCTCTTCCTCTTTGCTCCTGATGCACTCCCCCGCTTTCTGCTCCTCCTCTTCCTCTCTCTTCGGCCTGCGGCCCCTCCTGGGTGTCGGCAGACTTTTCACCGGCACCACTGCTGGGGCGGAGCCCGTCTTGGCCTTCTGCGCCGACAAGCTGGAGCCTTTTTTGGCCGCGGCCGGCTGAGCAGCCGAGGGCGGGGAGAGTGAGAGCGAAAAGGAGACCGCCCCCGAGGAACTCCGAGCGGCCAGCGCATCCCTCTCTCTCTCCCTGGAGAAAAGAGGTGGAGGGGCGGGAGTAGAGGAGGAGGAGGGCAGCTGGGGTGAGGTGAAGATGTGGGCGTGCGAGGAGCTAGTAGAGGAGGAAGGGTGAGGATGCGAGGAGGAGTGTGTGTGGAGTGCAGCTAGCTCCATGGCTGCCCTGACCTCCGGCTGGTTGGCATGGTGTTTCTCCAGGTGGCGAGCCAGAGAGCGGTAGTGACGGCTGCAGTAGGGGCAGTGCTGCTGCCGGCTGACCGTGGCCCCGCTGGAGCTGCCGATGTTTATGTTGATGTTGTTGTTGATGTTGGTGGTGGGGGGCGCCAGTGGGGTGGCAGGCTGAGACTGGGTCTGGGCCGGGGTGGAGGAGGAGGAGGAGGCAGCCAGCCGGGAGAAGGAGGACGAGACGGGGCGCCCGGGTCCGGCCCTGGGGTTGGCGACACTCTTCTTCTTGGTGGTGACGGGGGCAGCTAGTTTGCGCTTCTTTCGGCGGCGGAGCATGCGGCCCCTCAGCTCCTCCATCTCTTCTTCTTCATCCTCATCATCCTCCTCCTCCTCCTCTCGGTCCGAGTCGCTGGGCTCAGAGTGGGTGAGCGGGGAGGAGGAGGGGGAGAGGGACCAGGATGGGGTGAGGTAGTCAGAGATGGAGAGAGACAGTGGGTGGGGGCCAGGCTCTTCCTCCTGTCCGGAGACAAATCCAAAAACATGACAAAACAGCAACTTTATAAATACCCTCAGTAACCAATTGAAGAAATGTACTAGAGGTCACGACCTTCTGATGACCTTCTTAATGTTATTGTCAGGGTTAAAGCTGCAGTCAAACCCTCGCAGAGACACAGAGCTATGGAATCCCTAGGATATTCGTAACACAACCAAAAGGCTTCAATATGGAGCCCAGACAATCACACTGGGCGATGTTCTTTACTTGGACAGAACAAGGAAACAACACAACATGCAACTAGTAATGCCTACAGCTGAACAATGGTAATTGTGATGTGTATAAAAAGGTCATGACCTCTGACAACACTCATTCTTCACTGAGTACATTTAAAAATAGCCGAAATGGGTTCGCAACGAGGCAAGCTGGCAATGTTATCAGCGAGTCATAGTCACCATGGCGTTCTCTCCCCAGTCCGTCAGGCTGTAGTCCACCGTGATCTCCTCCCCTTTGGCGATGTCGCGAATCGCTATGACGACCAGCCGCACCTGACTCCCGCAGTGCACCTCTCGGATCCTGCAGTTGGGCGGTGGGTGGAAGAGCACCGGCCCCCGGACCCCACCCGCCCCATCCTCGCCCAGCTCCGACACACTGGATGGAGACACACAGCAACGTTACACCACCATCCACTGGTCACCAGCCTTTTGCTCCAGCCGCCTAGCAACGACACCTGATTTCACTGACCGAGGTCTTGGTGAGGTATGTTAGTACTGGGCTTGAACAAAAGCACTGCACACCCTTCCGAGACTTGGTGACCACTGCAATAGGTAAGGTTGACCCATACACTGCAGTCTCAATGCAACTTCAGTACAAAATATAATACAAATGAGCGACATTTGATTGATCTCATCTAGCTGTCATAACCAGAACAGACACGTCTGTCATTGGTTGTCTATTTTAGAAGTACATAATAAAAAAAAATTAAAATAAAGATTTAATTCAATGATCCTACTGTTTCGCTCACCAGATCTGGGAGGGGTCAGCGAGGTAGTACGGGCTTCCGGGCGGAGGCAGTCTGTCCTCCACTCCTGCTGGGTACTGCCCATCCCCTGGGAGAGTTAGAAACAAGTAAGAACACCAGCACACATTCAACACAAATGAATACTTTACACATGATAGGGCTGGAGGGAGGAATAGAGAAATGCATAATGATCTGCATGTCATCTTTACTCACACACACACCACTCTCTCTCCCACACACACACACACACACACACCACTCTCTCTCCCACACACACACACACACACACACCACTCTCTCTCCCACACACACACACACACACACCACTCTCTCTCCCACACACACACACACACACACACACCACTCTCTCTCCCACACACACACACACACACACCACTCTCTCTCCCCACACACACACACACACACACACACCACTCTCTCTCCCACACAACCACCACACAACACACCCACTCTCTCTCCCACACACACACACACACCACTCTCTCTCCCACACACACACACACACCACTCTCTCTCCCACACACACACACACACCACTCTCTCTCACACACACACACCAGTATCTCTCTCGCTCCCCCCCCCCCCCCACACACACACACACACACACACACACACTGCTCCCAACTTTAAAAAACAAAGTTCAGCACCAAACAGCATTTAAAGGAGCACCAGAAAAAGAGATAGATTTTGAATAAAGCTTAGTCTTCCATCAGGCCTATATGAATCACATCTCTTGAGTAGCAGACCATTTCCCCGTCTTCCTGGGCCAATCAGACGTGTGCCTATATAGTCCGCCACAGTGGACGCTTCATAATACCCATAAAACCTTGCGGTCAAACACGGAAATGGTTCCAATCGTTTTTCTACCGTTCATTTTTTCACAGTGATTTTTACAACACTTCAAATTAGTATGTGTTCGGTGTAGGCTTACCTTGGCGTGACGTTTTCATTACCGGGTAATTTTCTCCGATAAGCTAAGATCCATATATTCCCCTCCATTTGTGCTCATATTTGAAATGCTAATTAGCAACAGACAAGACCTCAGCAAGACTGCAAATTCCTGCAGGAAGCTCCTGCGGGTCATCTCTAGACCACAGTCAGCTACACCTTCACCTGCGCCGCCAGAGACCTGTGCCCAATCCATGATGAATCCATGCGATGTATTGAAATGAATTGAATGAAGTGTTGAACTTCTTCTGTCCCATTTCTTAGCCATTGACAAAACTTTAGCTAGCTAGTTAACAGGGCAGTATATCAACAAATATTTCTGTATTACTTAGCCTAGATAACTGTTTGTACAGCATGTCGACTTTGCTGTCTATTTCAGGCCTTATGGCATTCTTCAAGGATGAGCATCAGAGCATTAAAAAGGGGAGACGCCCACTAGAAGTCTGGCCATGTGGAGAAGTGCAGCTACAGTGAGGGGCAACTTACCGGTTTGGTCAGAGCCAGCGTGAGGGATAAAGTTCATCCTGTGTCGGTGAGTGTAGCTATTAGGTTAAGTTTGAGCATCTTGGCAGCTGTCAGCATTCTACAAGGAAAGAGCCACTTAATCAATCATTCCCCAGATCACCCCACGGATACCAGACTTCGATGAGTGATAACTCAAGTTCTAGAATGTTGTCATTGATGAGAATGAATCTGAAATCTATTGACATTCACAGTCTGGATTTATAGAATCCTTCACACAGTATGATTGATATGTCAAGTGATAAAATCCCAAGTTATCAATAAAAAAAAAGGTTTATGGAAAAACTGCATATTCTGAAGCTGTAATGTCATCACCAAATCAAACTTTATTTATACAGCACATTTCTTACAACAAAATGCATTTCAAGGTGTTCAAAGTCATTCATTGAAAAGGCATGTGGCACTTAACATCCTTCCTCTAGGCAGGTCTCTATAGGTGACCAGGGGATTCTCTTTACCGCATGCAAACGCCTCCGTGGCGCTCATAAGTGTAGCCATTCAGCCTGTTTTGGCGGATCACAATATCGTCCGTACGGACGTGGAATGCGAGTGGAGGAAGCAAGCTGTACCCGGCTGAAGACTACAACCCTCTGTCCAGAGAGCCCACAGAGGAGGATCTTCAGTAGCTAAGGAACCGTCTCCGGGGCAGGTTCAGTGGAATGGCATGTCTCCTTGAACCTGATCCAGAACAACCGCTACCCTCCCTGTCAGTACCGGACATTGTTTAAAAAAAACAAGGATACCTGGGGCAAGCAGGCATCCTGGTTGGCATGGCGCTGTCGGTGGAGCAGCAGGGGGCTATAAAACAGTTGGACAGCGTACCAACCCCAACTGGGCCATGAGGAGAGGGAGGTTGACGGCGCCAGCCGTTAGGGAGCAGTGGTTAGGGCCAAGCGCTATAAAGGGTCCTCAGATCAGTCATTGGATGGGGTGTTGTCTGTAAAGTGGGGCCACAGATAATGAAGAGGAGGACCATCAAGGAATTGGGCACCACAGCAGTGGTGGAGGTCAAAGTGTCCCTATGGTGCAAGGGACCTTACCATTTGAAGAGGCAGTGAAGTCAAAGGATTTCTATATCAAGGAGGGAGGGTCTTACCACCTTCCGTGAAGACCATCCTTACTGGCACCAGGTCAAAGGTCAGCTGCACATCACTGGAAGGGACACCTGCTTCTTCGTTGTCATGGACCACCAAAGCTTCCATCACCATCCCCGTCCAGCGTGACGACCTCTGACCTCTGACAGACCCATATTGCTCCTCCTGTCAGTTCCTGTTTTCAGGGAAGCCAAATGGTCCGAAAATATTCCACATAATTCACACACACACACACTAGGCTGCCAAAATAGCTTATACAGTCAGGTCCATAAGTATTTGGACAGTGACACAATTTCCATCATTTTGTCCCTGTACGCCGCCACAATGGATTTGAAAGGAAACAATCAAGATGTGCTTTAAGTGTAGACTTTCATCTTTAATTTAAGGGTTTTGTCAATATTATTGTCTGAACCGTGTAGGAATTACAACCATTTTCATAAATAGCCCCGCAATTTAAAGGGCTCAAAAGTAATTGGACAAACTAACATAATCATAAATTAAATTGTGAGTTTTAATACTTGGTTGCAAATCCTTTGCAGTCAATGACTGCCTGAAGTCTGGAACCCATAGGCATCACCTGATGCTGGGTTTCTTCCCTGGTGATGCTCAGCCAGGCCTTTACTGCAGTGGTCGTCGGTTCCTGCTTGTTCTTGGGGCGTTTTGCCTTCAGCAAGTGAAATGCATGCTCAATTGGATTCAGGTCAGGTGACTGACTTGGCCATTGCAGAACATTCCACTTCTTTGCCTTCAAGTTTTGGGTTGCTTTCGCAGTCTGCTTTGGGTCATTGTCAATCTGCACTGAGAAGTGCCGTCCAATGAGTTTTTAAGCATTTGGCTGAATCTGAGCAGATAATACAGCCCTTAACACTTCATAATTCATCCTGCTGCTTTTGTCAACAGTCACATCATCAATAAATACAAGGGAGCCCGTTCCATTGGCAGCCATACATGCCCACGCCATAACACTACCTCCACCATGCTTCACAGATGAGGTGGTATGCTTCGGATCATGAGCAGTTCCTTCCCTTCTCCATACTCTTCCTCTTCCCATCATTCTGGTACAAGTTGATCTTTGTCTCATCAGTCCATAGGATGTTGTTCCAGAAAGGTACAGGCTTTTTTTTGTTGAAGTTTTTTGCCAAACTCTAATCAGGCTAACCAATGGTTTACATCTTGTGGTAAAACCCTCTGTATTTACTCTGGTGAAGTCTTCTCTTGATGGTTGACTTTGACACAGATACTCCTACCTCCTGGAGGGTGTTCTTGATCTGGCCAACTGTTGTGAAGGGGTTTTTCCTTCACCAGGGCAATAATTATTCTGTCATCCACCAGTTGTTTTCCGTGGTCTTCCGGGCCTTTTGGTGTTCCAGAGCTCACCAGAGCGTTCTTTCTTTTTAAGAACGTACCAAATAGTTGATTTGGCCACACCTAATGTTTTTTTGCTATCTCTCTGATGGGTTTGTTTAGATTTTTCAGCCTAATGATGGCTTGCTTCACTGGCAGTGGCAGCTCTTTGGCCTTCATATTGAGGGTTAACAGCAACAGATTCCAAATGCAAATGCCACACTTGAAATCAACTCTAGACCTTTTACCTGCTTCCTTGTAAATGAACTGATGAGGGAATAACACACCTGGCCATGGAACAGCTGAGCAGCCAATCACACACCTGGCCATGGAACAGCTGAGCAGACAATTGTCCAATTACTTTTGGTCCCTTAACAAGGAGGGGTCCACATATAAGAAGTGTTGTAATGTCACGCCTCATGTCTAAAACATGGGGAAAAGGGACATCAAGTCTACATGTTGATGCATCTACAAACTCAATGTTTTACACAATAACGTATCATATTTGATGAGTTACTGACCTGTCCGTCCACAGGCTCTATGTGATGCAGCCTCCACAAATGGGACACTCGCGCTCGGATCACACTGGCACAGGATGTCCACGCACCGGACGGTCTGAAGGTTGCACTCCTGTTGGACTGGAAAAAACAAAGAGGCGTGGTGACTGGTGGGTCTTTTTCAATGCTGTATCGCCATCTTTATCTGGACACAAACCCACTTTGGACAATGTGACAAAGTGGTCCCTCAACAGCCAATCCTCATGCCTCACTGTTTGTTCTGGTTCCCCAATCAACAGTCTGGATCTTCCTCTCCTGCCATGGTGGATGAGCTACCCTTTTGTGGTAAATACAGAACCGTTTCTCTTTCAAAATGGCAGCTGCAGTCCCGAGTGCAGTCACTGGGTTTCTGGACCGCCCAGTCTGAAAGACAAAAAATTTAAGTTACATTTTATTATCTAGCTAAGTTGATTAGTAAAATGGTATATATATATATATTAAAATCCCATAACCCACAGACTTACTATAGTAACAGTAAAATAGATTGGCCTTTTAGTCTATCTGCAAATGTAAAGTCCTACTATGTGGAGGGGACATTTCTGCTGGGATGGAGGAATTATCTGGAACGCTCAACTAGATGATCAGGACAGTCTAGCGTACTATTTGCCCGAAGAGGTGAAGTATTGCAATGAGCTATACGACTGTACTTCTGATTCTAATTCTCAAGAGAAAAGTTCAAACCCACAGCCGTGAGGTCACTGAGGAGCACCAACAGTGATAAGGGGGATCGTCTGAAAGGGACTGACATGCAGGGATGGAACATGAGGATTTCTGGCACTGGCCAGCAGACCACGATATCTACTAGCCCGGGTAACATTCAGGTCCTAAATCTGTCGCAAACAATGTTTGTAAAAGGCAGAATTTCACTGCTGTGTCAGGCTAGTTTGGCACATTGCCCAGTCCGAAAAGTACATGTTTAACTGACTTCACAGGTCATTTGATTAGTCATGTACAACAGATGCACTCGTGGAACAAAAACCGTTTTGTGTTTTATATAGGAAAACATTGAACCCACAAGTCCTTTGTGAGCTAGCTAGCCAGCTAGTTAACGTTAGCTCACTGTTCGTGTAGTCACACTTTTCCACGTGGTGACATGCTAGCTAATGTTAGCACACCAGGGCAGTGATATTTTGCTAACATTTAGCTAGCTAGTTACGTTAGCTCATCATTTGTGTAGTCAGACTTTCTCCCCAGACCCCACGGGTGGTGACATATTAGCTAGTCCACCAGGGCAGGGATATTTAACGTTAGGCACATTCGCTAGCATGTCACCGCCTGTCGGGAACGTCTGACTACACCATCGTGAGATCCTGTGCAACGTTAGCTAGCTAACGTTAGATAATGTAGCCAACTAGCCAAGCAAGGTGCCTAACTAGCTAGCCCACCAGGTGATATTTAGCTGGCTATATCATTATACTAGCCTATGCTGGTTTCCTTTTTACTTGTAAGGAAGGTAATGTGCGTTGCACACGTAACTACAGTCAGTGGTTATCTAGCTAATTTTCAAAAAAGTGTCTAGCTAACCACAGACCTTTCACCTAACCAAAATAGCTTGATAGCATCTAGCAAACAGGGCTTACCTTGCAACACAGCTCCAGCGATGCCTCTCGCTTACAGAGGTTGGAAAAAGATAAAATGCATGTGTGCCTGTCGGAGTTGTGGTTACAATCCGGTACATAGCACAGAACCGTCCTTGCTTCTGCTCGACGGAGAGACCTAAGGTTAGCTAGTTATCTACAAAAGCCATGGTAAATTAACAAATTCTAGTAATAAAAAAATGCTAAAAAAAGGTAGCTAGCTAGGTAACTTGAACAATTATAAAACAAGAATACACACAATATCAATTATTTACACAAGAAACTAAAAAGGCTACAATATCTACTTGCTAGATTACTTGTCGATGAGAGTTTGGAGAAATGTGGAGGTTTTTCCCACCCTGCACCTTGAGTGATTACGTCAAAGCTTGTGACAGGATGTGTAGTTCTGTATGATAGCCACATTGGCAGCTAATTAGCATTTACTTTTGGGGGGGTAATTACAGGCGAATATATTGATAAAAAAAGTCACCTTGTCCTAGAGAGATTTACACAGTTATCAAAACTTATGCCAGAGTAAGCCTACACAAAACACAGACCTTTTATGAAGTAGTTCTAAAATCCCCTATGAAAAAATGACTGGTGGAAAAACGATTGGAACCATTTCCGGGTTTTACCGCTAGGTTTTATGGGTATTATGACTCATACTGTGGTACTCATTAGGCTAGACCTAGTGGTCAAGTAACCAGGTTGTTAGCTTGCTAGGTAACATGACTGAACACAGTTGTTAGCTTTCAAACCAATAATTAGCAGCCCGGGATTCATTTAAAATGGCCTGCGATATGATTTATGAAATTCTGTAAAATGTGTGCTAATCCACGATATATATACAGTGGGGGAAAAAAGTATTTAGTCAGCCACCAATTGTGCAAGTTCTCCCACTTAAAAAGATGAGAGAGGCCTGTAATTTTCATCATAGGTACACGTCAACTATGACAGACAAATTGAGGAGAAAAAAATCCAGAAAATCACATTGTAGGATTTTTTATGAATTTATTTGCAAATTATGGTGGAAAATAAGTATTTGGTCACCTACAAACAAGCAAGATTTCTGGCTCTCACAGACCTGTAACTTCTTCTTTAAGAGGCTCCTCTGTCCTCCACTCGTTACCTGTATTAATGGCACCTGTTTGAACTTGTTATCAGTATAAAAAGACACCTGTCCACAACCTCAAACAGTCACACTCCAAACTCCACTATGGCCAAGACCAAAGAGCTGTCAAAGGACACCAGAAACAAAATTGTAGACCTGCACCAGGCTGGGAAGACTGAATCTGCAATAGGTAAGCAGCTTGGTTTGAAGAAATCAACTGTGGGAGCAATTATTAGGAAATGGAAGACATACAAGACCACTGATAATCTCCCTCGATCTGGGGCTCCACGCAAGATCTCACCCCGTGGGGTCAAAATGATCACAAGAACGGTGAGCAAAAATCCCAGAACCACACGGGGGGACCTAGTGAATGACCTGCAGAGAGCTGGGACCAAAGTAACAAAGCCTACCATCAGTAACACACTACGCCGCCAGGGACTCAAATCCTGCAGTGCCAGACGTGTCCCCCTGCTTAAGCCAGTACATGTCCAGGCCCGTCTGAAGTTTGCTAGAGTGCATTTGGATGATCCAGAAGAGGATTGGGAGAATGTCATATGGTCAGATGAAACCAAAATATAACTTTTTGGTAAAAACTCAACTCGTTGTGTTTGGAGGACAAAGAATGCTGAGTTGCATCCAAAGAACACCATACCTACTGTGAAGCATGGGCGTGGAAACATCATGCTTTGGGTCTGTTTTTCTGCAAAGGGACCAGGACGACTGATCCGTGTAAAGGAAAGAATGAATGGGGCCATGTATCGTGAGATTTTGAGTGAAAACCTCCTTCCATCAGCAAGGGCATTGAAGATGAAACGTGGCTGGGTCTTTCAGCATGACAATGATCCCAAACACACCGCCCGGGCAACGAAGGAGTGGCTTCGTAAGAAGCATTTCAAGGTCCTGGAGTGGCCTAGCCAGTCTCCAGATCTCAACCCCATAGAAAATCTTTGGAGGGAGTTGAAAGTCCGTGTTGCCCAGCGACAGCCCCAAAACATCACTGCTCTAGAGGAGATCTGCATGGAGGAATGGGCCAAAATACCAGCAACAGTGTGTGAAAACCTTGTGAAGACTTACAGAAAACGTTTGACCTGTGTCATTGCCAACAAAGGGTATATAACAAAGTACTGAGAAACTTTTGTTATTGACCAAATACTTATTTTCCACCATAATTTGCAAATAAATTCATAAAAAATCCTACAAGTGTGATTTTCTGGAATTTTTTTTCTCATTTTGTCTGTCATAGTTGACGTGTACCTATGATGAAAATTACAGGCCTCTCTCATCTTTTTAAGTGGGAGAACTTACACAATTGGTGGCTGACTAAATACTGTTTTTCCCCCACTGTATGATACAAATAAAATACAAAATATATATGATACAAAAAAAAATACAAAGATATATTTGTAGGATGCGTTCTGTCCTCAGTCATTCATTTCAAGAAAGAAGGTAGCTCAGTTGGTAGAGCACGGCGCTTGCAACGCCAGGGTTGTGGGTTCGATTCCCACGGGGGACCAGTATGAAAAATTAATGCACTCACTTAACTGTAAGTCGCTCTGGATAAGAGCGTCTGCTAAATGACAAAAAATGTAAAAGGTAGTGATCACACAGGGACAAGATCTGTCCCCGCTCACCTTTTATAGCTCAATGGTGATACACTGTGTGTGTCTGTGCACTTCTACACAATTCACGTTATAAGATCAAAACACAAATGTAATAGCAGAATAATCATCAGGGTGTGCACATGAAAGTGGACATAATTGTACCGGCGCATACAAGAGACTAGCTGCTGTTGCTGAATTTTTTTTAACAGAAATGTAATTTTATAAATGTATTAAATTAGGCGTCAGCTGGTTCTTTAGATCGGTACTACAGTTTTAAAAAAAAATTTTTTTAGTACCATGGTACCATTATATTATCGTGGTACCGGTATACCAGGCAACACTAGTGTGTGTGTGTGTTTACCCGGACTGTAGCTGTGTCCAGACAGACTCTCCTCTTCCTCTTCCTCCTCTTCCTCCTCCTCTTCCTCCTCCTCCGTCACGTAGGCCCGGTCACACACCTTCACAGGGGTACCTTTCCTTTTCCTTGTGCACACCCTCCTACAAAAACACACCAGGGGTTCTTTCAGATTTAGAACATTTCAGGATTTAAAAAAAATAATGTTTTAACTGCATAGAGCCGACAGATTTATTTTGTGCACGACATTTCTACATAAATTGCATTTACATCTACCACATTATGAATAGGACATTTCTCACCATCAAAACAAGTAGACCTATAGCTTGGGGGCATGACACTGATGGTTTTGGATGAAGACCAATATGAAAATAAAATAGCCGTCAACCATCTTTTTCATAAAATGGTTTCATCAACTTTATTTTAATGTAGATCTACTTTCCCCACAGCGGGAGTCTTAACTATTGATTATATGCTGACTTAGCCCGTCTATTAAACTGTATATGTCTCCTCCTCAGCCTTTTGATGTGCCGCAATCAGCAAATCCGCAAATATCACGGATAGGAGAGAATCTTTGAAGGTCAATTCAGTCAATTCAAGAGGGGACCGGAGGTAACTATAGATCCTATAGCCTACAGGCTGGAGGTAACTATAGATCCTATAGCCTACAGGCTGGCTGGGGGTAACTATAGATCCTATAGCCTACAGGCTGGGGGTAACTATAGATCCTATAGCCTACAGGCTGGGGGTAACTATAGATCCTATAGCCTACAGGCTGGCTGGGGGTAACTATAGATCCTATAGCCTACAGGCTGGGGTAACTATAGATCCTATAGCCTACAGGCTGGGGGTAAACTATAGATCCTATAGCCTACAGGCTGGCTGGGGGTAACTATAGATCCTATAGCCTACAGGCTGGGGGTAACTATAGATCCTATAGCCTACAGGCTGGGGGTAACTATAGATCCTATAGCCTACAGGCTGGCTGGGGGTAACTATAGATCCTATAGCCTACAGGCTGGGGGTAACTATAGATCCTATAGCCTACAGGCTGGGGGTAACTATAGATCCTATAGCCTACAGGCTGGCTGGGGGTAACTATAGATCCTATAGCCTACAGGCTGGGGGTAACTATAGATCCTATAGCCTACAGGCTGGGGGTAACTATAGATCCTATAGCCTACAGGCTGGGGGTAACTATAGATCCTATAGCCTACAGGCTGGGGGTAACTATAGATCCTATAGCCTACAGGCTGGGGGTAACTATAGATCCTATAGCCTACAGGCTGGGGGTAACTATAGATCCTATAGCCTACAGGCTGGGGGTAACTATAGATCCTATAGCCTACAGGCTGGCTGGGGGTAACTATAGATCCTATAGCCTACAGGCTGGGGGTACTATAGATCCTATAGCCTACAGGCTGGGGTAACTATAGATCCTATAGCCTACAGGCTGGCCGGGGGTAACTATAGATCCTATAGCCTACAGGCTGGGGGTAACTATAGATCCTATAGCCTACAGGCTGGGGGTAACTATATAACCTATAGCCTACAGGCTGGGGGTAACTATATAACCTATAGCCTACAGGCTGGGGGTAACTATAGATCCTATAGCCTACAGGCTGGGGGTAACTATAGATCCTATAGCCTACAGGCTGGGGGTAACTATAGATCCTATAGCCTACAGGCTGGCTGGGGGTAACTATAGATCCTATAGTCTACAGGCTGGCTGGGGGTAACTATAGATCCTATAGCCTACAGGCTGGGGGTAACTATAGATCCTATAGCCTACAGGCTGGGGGTAACTATAGATCCTATAGCCTACAGGCTGGGGGTAACTATAGATCCTATAGCCTACAGGCTGGGGGTAACTATAGATCCTATAGCCTACAGGCTGGGGGTAACTATAGATCCTATAGCCTACAGGCTGGGGGTAACTATATAACCTATAGCCTACAGGCTGGGGGTAACTATAGATCCTATAGCCTACAGGCTGGGGGTAACTATAGATCCTATAGCCTACAGGCTGGGGGTAACTATAGATCCTATAGCCTACAGGCTGGGCGTGGGTTGGTAGCCTCTGCCCTTCCACCTCTGGCCTTTTTCACTGTTACAGTAGATCGGAGGAGTGAGGTGAAAAAGATGGCTCTCGTAGCAACAAAAAAAAAGTAACGTTTTATTATTTATTTGCACTAAAGTGTAAATATGAACTCCTTACATGAGCCTGACAGTGGACTCTCTGGAAAGACTGGACACTGAAATCCCGCTGTTTGGAAACAACCTACATGCCAGAATCCCACACAGCTGACAACCTGGCCGAAGCCCTGCGTTGGGGGATTGCTTGACCGGGCCCCTTGACGTAAATAAAGTGTCCCGTATTCGCCACACGCCAACGGGGCCAACGTTGTGGCCTGCAGCGAGGCAACCCAACTGGCCTTGGCTAAACCTCGCCGTCACCAACGGCGTGAACAGCGAGAGCACACGCACAGGCCGGGGTCTAGGCCTATGGACCTAGTGAAATGTCCATACGGAGCTGAACCTCCCAAATCACAGCCTCATTCTGGTGAGAAATTAAGTTTGATCAGCTATAATATTTATAATAATAATAATAATAATAATATATTTATAGCCTATTCGATGTTAAAAGACAAAGCAATGCGAAATTATTGTTCATGTGTAATATAATGTTGTTATTCAGATGCCCTAGCAAATAAAAACAAACAAAAATAGGCTAATTTCCTTGAATCATTCAATGTTGCATTACCATAGGCCCATTGTATTTTCACAATGAAATTAGCCTGTTTGGTAGGTTTTATTTTGCCAATAATACTGTAGTTAAACCAATGATAATAATTTCATTATAATGATCATATAGAACAAATTCCGGGAATCCTATGTTGTGTTCAGTGCATTCGGAAAGTATTCAGACCCCTTTACTTTTCCACATTTTGTTATGTTACCTTATTCTAAAATTGATTAAATATTATAATTTTTGTATCAATCTACACACAATACCCCAGAATAACAAAGTGAATGCACTGTATACTACAACAGAAAGCATGATTTTATCCAGCTTGCACGAGTTTATCAGGTAAATGCACTTTGAAATGTTAACTCAGTTATGTATATTCATAGTCATTACATCTAGTAAGAATGTTAACCTGTGGGTGTGATTTTGATTAACGTTATCCGCACGTCAGACAGTAGCAGCCTATTATCTCGCAATCCATGGCATGCATTTGAAGATGCCTATGCAACGTGGTGCAACAATGTGTTAACCGCAAATAATGTAAATTGTATCCTCCGTCGCGTGGTGGTGGCTACAGTATGTAATCATGGCAACCAGCCAATCAATGTAGTTCGACTAGGGAAAGTAAAAAGAAGTGACTAGACAGGCTACTCTTAAAAAAAAAATTCTAAATATGTTGGGAGGGTATTGAAGAACATGAATATCTGAGAAGTCCGAGATCTCTACGAGAGAGAGAGAGAGAGAGAGCGAGAGAGAGAGAGAGCAGCAGAGCGAAGAGAGAGAGAGAAGAGAGAGCGAGGAGAGACGAGAAGGAGAGAGAAGTGAGAGAGAGAGGAGAGAGAGAGAGGGAGCAGCGAGAGAGCCAGAGATCAAAGAGAGGAGAGAGAGAGAGATAGACGAGAGAGAGAGCGAGATAAGATCGAGAGGATCGAGGAGCTATGCGAGAGCGAGCGTCTACGATAGCCTAGATCTGATCTCTGAGATCATCTCTCTATCTCTCTCTCTTCTAGATCTCTCATCTATCTATCTCATCTCTCTCTCTCTCGCCTCTCTCTCTCTCTCTCTCTCTCTCAAAAGTAACGTCTATCTACGTAGGCAGGAAGTAACAGTGTCTACCATGGTCCATTTTACCTACCGAATACATGTAGAGGAATAAGGCCTCTATTAACGATTTTTGACTTTTGCAAGGCGGCTCCAACAATAACAAGCCTTCAGTGATTGGCTACATGGCTACAGTCAGTGCAGAACACTGTATTTGTAGTGACAGATGTCTGTCCAAACTAGTACAATAATCCTTGTTCAACTGTTTTGCAGCATGTGTTTGTATGAAATCAAACCTCAAATACTGATAGCTACGTTATTGAGGAAAAAATGCAGTTTCTATGCCTGTGATATGTGGTTGTCCCACCTAGCTATCTTAAGATGAATGCACTAACTGTAAGTCGCTCTGGATAAGAGCGTCTGCTAAATGACTAAAATGTGCAAAAAAAATAAAATGATAGGAGGATCATTAGCTTCTTCATAAAAACAACAACATTTGCATTGCCTGTCGGAAGGCAGCGGGTGCGGTAACTAGGCTACCGAACAGATGAGAGACCCAGTGAAAGAGATGCCCAGCCAGGCATATCGCAATATTGAAAAATACAATTGCGTGAAAACATAGTTTGGAAAGCGATTGGCTATCGCTGTAAAGAGATGACAATGAAAAGACGAATGTATTTTTGTTTTGTTTTTAAGATTCTGCTAATCTCTCCACTGTCTCCAGTCATATAAAGTGTAGTAGAATTGCCTGAAATCTTTTCATAAAAAAAGGCCAAATTTTTCCCGTGCAAAGAAAGGAGAAGAACCTCCACCAGGCGCTGCATTGAACCGTCTTGTTTTAGTTATATTAGCCTAAATTATGAATATCAAATTTACTCATCACATTAGGAATAGTTGGTTGTCTTACATAAGTCTGCAAATGTGATGCATGGAATGCTTTATATGAGCAAGACAGTTTGCATAGACAGTTCGGCCTAAATGCGATAATTGATAATGTTGTGCCCCACCTCCCCAATGGAATTTAGGCTTATGGGTGTTTTAACATGCATCTTTCTTACAACGGCCGAAGACGTAACATGCGCTTCGTTTTGTCTTTTACTTTTTGGGTTTGTACACCTGCTTCAAAACAGCTGAAAATACAATATTTTTGGTTATGAAAAATATATTTCACAGCGGTGTAGATGGTACAATGATTCTCTACACTATACTTGCTTGTTTTGTCACAAACTGAAATTAGGCGAACTATTAGAATTTTTGCAACCAGGTAACGGCAGAGCAATTTCTGCATATCACACCTTTAACATTCGAATTATTTCACAATGCTGAGGACGGATCAGCTCCTAAAGAAACATTACCAGCTAAGGCTGCAAATATTGAGACGGCTTTTTCTAATGCTCACCCTATAAAAATGCACTAAATCACCGATTTGGCACATCATTGAGCACGTTAGGCTACACATCATGAAATATGTTGAGACAAATGACCTACAAGTAGCGAAATAGAAAATTGATTGAACATGAAATGTACTGCAGATTAACATTCAATTCGCACACCCAACAGATCCACAGACGATACAAGCTCTTTCCCAACCTGGACAAAAGGAACTCCTACGTGAGAATGCTGTTCATTGATTACAGCTCAGCGTTCAACACCATAGTGCCCTCCAAGCTCATCACTAAGCTAAGGACCCTGGGACTGAACACCTCCCTCTGCAACTGGATCCTGGACTTCCTGACTGGCTGCCCCCCAGGTGGAAAGGTTAGGTAAAAACACATCCACCACGCTGATCCTCAACACGGGGGGCCTCCCCTCAGGGGCGCGTGCTTAGACCCCTCCTGTACTCTGTGTTCACCCACAGTTGTGTGGCCGCGCACGACTCCAACACCATCATTAAGTTTGCCGAAGACACGACGGTGGTAGGCCTGATCACCGACGAAGATCTGGAAGTGTGGTGCCAGGCGAAACAATCTCTCCCTCAACGTCAGCAAGACAAAGGAGCTAATTGTGGACTAAAAGGAAACGGATGGCCGAGCACACCCCCATTCATATAGATGGGCCTGTAATGGGGCAGATTGAGAGCTTCAAGTTCCTCGGTGTCCACATCACTAAGGACCTATCATGGTCAAAACACACCAACACAGTCGGCACGACAACGCCTCTTCCCCCTTCAGGAGGCTGGAAATATTTGGCATGGGGTCCTCAGATCCTCAAAAGGTTCTACAGCTGCACCATCGAGGGCATCCTGACTGGTTGCATCACTGCCTGGTATGACAAATGCTTGGCATCCGACCACAAGGCACTACAGAGGGTAGTGCGTACGGCCCAGTACATCACTGGGGCCGAGCTCCCTGCCATCCAGGACCTCTATACCAGGCGTAGTTTTAGAGGAAGGCCCTAAACATTGTCAAAAGACTCCAGCCGCCCAAGTCATAGACTGTTCTATCTGCTACCGCACGGCAAGCAGTACTGGAGCGCCAAGTCTGGGTACCAAAAGGCTCCTGAACAGCTTCTACCCCCAAGCCATAATACCGCTGAACAGTTAATCAAATGGCTACCTGGACAATTTGCATTGACCCCCTTTTTTTGTTGTTGTTGCCTCTGGCTCCTATGCACACTCACTGGATTCTACCCACACACACACATACTACACAGACACACACACTACATAATTTATGTTCTCACACACACACACACACACACACACAGACGCCACACACAGACACACTCTTCACATACGCTGCTCCTCCTTGTATATATAGTATTTTTATTGTGTTACTCATTTCTTTTTTTTGCTAAATGTTCTTACTTTTTAACTCTGCATTGTTGGGAAAGGGTTCGTAACTAAGCATTTTATGGTCAAGTCTACACCTGTTGTATTTAGCGCATGTGACAAATAACATTTGATTAGATTATTTGTTTTCAAGTGCAACTTTAATAATGATGTTTTTTTTTGGGAAACAGCTTGGAGATTTAATGATGATTCTAACAATGAAGATACTTTGGGAAACTGGGCCCTTATATTTATTGAATACAGTTGTAAAAACAAATCGAATCAAATCCATAAAGTATCAAAGACAATCAAATAATATATTGGGGGGAAATTATGACTTATAATAGCTCGTGAAATAATTTAATTTTCAATAATTGTAGCTATTTGACAAACCCCAATACCCAGGCCTATATAAATGCCCCCACACACCTGAGATACAGTACACCTTTGCATCCCTCATTCGCTATGTTATACAGTAGACCACAAGTAAGTCAGATCTATCTACACAGTGAGAGTGATGCCTAATGTGATTTCCCCAACAACATCAGTTTGAATGAAGATGATACTCGCACACAGCTAACTACAGTACCAAAAAAATCCGGCAAACATGTGGTTTTAATGATTAAATGCCCAAATAACGAGCCATTTTAGGAATAATGTATATCGCTTTCTAGCTAGCTATCAGATCAAGCAAGTCTTGCCTAAATTCAATTTAATCTGTTTAGCTAGCTAGCCATGACTACTGTGTGCAGATGTAACTGGCCAGCTAGCTAACTAAAGAGATGGCTAGTAGTTAGCTAGCTGGCTAATTAAATAACAGGACAGGACATTACAGCTGGCTAACTCCCAAACGAAAGCTCAAAAGTATACGGATAATCAACAGGCAGGCTGTGCAAGCTTGGACAATTACGAAACTAGGTAGCTAGTGATCCCGAAGCGTTTCATTTTTTTCTCAGCAGAATCATCGCAGGGATGGACACCTGGAACTAAACACACCCGCTCAGACAGGGCTCGCAATCCGACTTCACTTTTAAACAAAGTAGCTGGCAAGTGATCAGATATAACCCCAATAAGCTATTAATCTCACCCCCGGGGCGGCGGCGGCGGCTTGCTCCCATCCCCGTCGCTGTCGAGGGTCGGTGGTTCCCGGTACTCAAAAGGCGACCGTACGTTCTCCGCCATTAGTACAGCTCCCCTACCCCTGCGCTCCGGTAGATTGCGCATGTGCGAGTATGCAGAGATTTCTATGGTAAAATGGGGGGTAGACTAGCAGGACAAGGAGGCCATAAAGAGATATATCTGGCTCTTACACACCTTCCTTTTCATTATTATTGCCTTGGAATTAGAATGAAGTAGTCTATAACATGTTTTATTACATTTATATAAAATGCACTGTATACTATTCATGGAATAACGACAACAAAACACTCTAGATACACTTCAGTTTAATATTCAGTGCAAATCCAAATAATTTACAGATAATGTTTGACAAAATAGAAAAGCTCACAATAACAAAATCCAAAAAATGTCAGCACAGAGGTTATTTCCATTATCTTAATATTCAGTCAGTGTTTGGAGTCTGTGTCAGACGTTCAACTGTGAAGGAGGGTGAAGAGGGTGTGATAGTTTTGGCTACACACACACATTCAGTTTGCTACTGAGCAATATTAGCTAAAAGGTAAACGTCAACAAGTTAAAACGATTTAGCAGCATTTTCAAGTATGTAGAATATACAATTAGCCTACTGTGAGTGACTATAGCCACCTTGACAGTACAATAACAACATGCAGCGACGTGATCCATCACTGTTTATTTTCTAAACTTGCCTGACCCAAAAAAAAAAAAAAAAGATGAGCGCAACATCGGTATGTCAGTTACATGATCATATCCTGATGTTTGTTGGAATTGCTTTTCTCCTATGGTAAACGAATAGAATCTGGAGATATGTTGGCATCATGTGGTGCGTGTGAACCACAAGCTATCTTCATTGGTCAGCAAGCTGCATTTTCACAGTAACAGTTTATCAGTAAAATGTTTTACCTACATTCTAATAGTTAATGTTAGTCTGAAGTGTTAGTCACGGCACGATTTCTAACAGTGTTAGAATGTTTCAACTAAAGCCCCTTCAATTCTACCTCAAACAAAAGTAGGAATAATAATTGAATTTCTCATCAGTAAGTTGTTCAGCTTCAATAAATAGACTATACAACAACAACAGCAACAAAACTGTCCCGGAACTGAACGCGTCATCCATGGCACGAACCATCCTTTCTGACAAAGGAATGCTACTGCAACAAGTCTTGCTGGTGCACCTCAACACAGTGTATATATAATTTGGTGAAAGTCATTTTTAGCATTTCATAAAAAGGAGTTTAGTTGTGATTTTAGTAAAGCTTCCCAGCATTGGGCAGTATATATCATAATACCTTAGGATGTCATTGCTAATATTGTCTGCTATTGAAAGCTGACTGATGTTAGATTTTGAGACAGTTCAGAGCTGTTGGAACTAGATTTCTTCTTCTTTCCCTTCCCTCTCGGAGTGGAGGACATGAAGGGTCTGCGAGGCAGAGTCGGCCCAATGGGTCAGCTCTAGCAGTACCCGATAGGTCCACATTTTCGCCCCAAAAGTACCCACAACTCCATCAACCTCCTAAAAGAGAAAGAAAAAGTCAGTGGTTACAAAAAACATCATGGCTTTCTCACAAGCCCTCAACACAAGAAGAAGAACAAGTAACATATCAGTTGGTGCTTTAGACTGATTAGGCCATTGTTATTTATATTGACCTCACTAAATGGAAGATGGAAGATAGCCCATGATAATAGTAATTAAGAATTGACATTTTTTTACCTCATCGCACTGGTGGTCTGGGGTGACGTCCTCGTCGGTCTCCAGTAGGACCTTGGTGCTGTGAAGCAGATGTCCCAGTCGATCCCGGACGCTCTTTCTCGCCGTCTCGTACTCGCCCTCTAGCTCGCCCATCTCCTCTTCCTCTCGTAGGATGAGACACTCCAGTAGGCCCGAGCATTTGCGCAGGGCTGAGTGTAGGAGCTGAACCTGCTCGTCAGAGCTGAGGTCAGGCGAGGACAGAGAGAGGGACACGATGCGGTCCCCCGCTGGGGTGTGGTCTGACAAGAGACTCTCCCTCTCCCTCTGGGAGGATAAGAGGAGGAAGAGGAGAGCCAGGGGGGTGGGGGGGAAATGAAAGCTAGATAATATAAGCATGAAAACTCTGAATGGAAAAAAATGAAAAGTACTAATGAGTAACAGTACTACTAATGAGTAAAATACGCTGCTACAAAAAAAAGGTGTGCACCAACAGTAAACCACCTGATTTTTGAGAAAACTGAAAAATAAAAACGTTGTCTGTGAAAAGCATTGGCTTTATTCATACCCAATAAATTATCATATTTAAACAAATCAAAACAATTATCTATTTCTAATATCTATACAATTTTTTTCCCACTTTAATTAATGTTACTCCAATAGCATATATTGGTTATTTTCGTAGATGTGTTTTTTTTTTCTTCCCTTCTACGGGAGCCAGCTGCCAAATTCGAGTGCCTAATCCATTAGGGTGGGTTCCCCTGGGTCACAGTTTAATGGATTGGGTAGGGGAACATGGAGGAGAGGGAGAGCTGGTTTTTAAAGGATGTTTCAATTAGGAACTGGAGCGGCATTAGTTACAGTACAAGAGACAGTTAATTATCGCTAAATACCAACGTTGTAATTTACCACCTGGCTACAGATCTCTCTTGAAACCAGCTCTTAAAAATATAGTTTATCTAATGAGTCTAATCTAGGGAAACGAGAATAATAAAGTTAAAATTATCTTAAAATGGTGCGGTACAGGTGCAGCGAAATAGGCCTGAGTTCTAACGGGACGTGGATGACGTGATAGGTTAGCTATGTGGCGCTGTTTATACCTAGCAAGCTGCCCTAATAGAATAATACAAATAGCTACAAATTCGCTCAATTTCACTCAGCAACTACTCACATATAGCTCCAGAAGATGAGTGCAATCCTGGTGCAGTAGCCGAGCCAGAGCCGATGCTCTCCCGGTTCTCGATCGCTCCGGCGCAGGCATGTCCAGTAGCGTGTCTATGTCAATCTGTTCCTGATCAGCCATTTACTCGAGGCGGTTTGCGGTGAGTCGGTGGTAACCAATGGTGGTAACGGGCAGAGAGCAGCCGGAGTGTTTTTCTCCTACTACAGAAATGGAGACGTAGATAAATAAGTTAGCTAAAGCTACCAATCTCGATATTTTTTAAAACGTACAGATTGAGCTAGAGGTCCATTTCGTCGTCGTCATTTGATAATTTGTTTTATTTAGTTGTTCACATGAACGCGACGCACGGGGGTAATGGAATGTAATTGCTTCCGTAAGCAAGAGGGGCGTTTTTTTCAGGGACGCACAGAGGTTTCCACCCAAACCGGGAGAGGTACGGACACGCCTGGTGTCCACATTGTTGACGGTCGCGCAGACGAACTGATTCGGTTCAGCTCAGTCCACAGTATTTGTATTTTTGTATTTATTATGGATCCCCAGTAGCTGCTGCCGCCTCTTCCTGGGGTCCAGCAAAATTAAGGCAGTTATACATTTTAAAAACATTACAATACATTCATAACAGATTTCACAACATATTAAGTCTGTGCCCCACAGTCTGTAGGCTTGTTCGACATTGCAGACAATCATGTATATAAACCCTGTATTGGCCATTGAGAGGCTTTGAAGCCACAGTCGGCAATATTGGCACTCCCCAGTATGAGCAGCCTCTAAAAATGATACTTTAGGAAAAATGTTTTTATATATTTTTTTCATTTTTGTCTAGCTCACATAATAATAATAATAATAATGATAATAATAATAATAATAAAAATGCATTAAGATGTCTGTAATATAATAAACGTGGCAGAAACGGATGTAGACATTAATACATGCATTTCTATAGCTTCCAAAACATTTTTTACACCGGTGAGTTGTGCCAAGATGGAGGCGCGGTCGCTTAAACACAGAGCCCCCTAAAATTCATCTAGTGTATATATAAATTGTTGATGAAAGCCGACAGGACAGGCGACTGCCGACTGACTGATCGACAAATCACCTTGCATCATAAATAACGACTCATTATTAGTTGTATTATTTGTAGATGAGTCAGTGACTCACAATTTACCCATGATATATAACGGTTTTGGTGCTCTCCAACACGGCCATTGGTTCAGTCCACTGAGGTATAGGTTCAGTCAGTCATCCTGATGAGAATGAGGAGGAAAAGGAGTTCCGCGGACCCTTCGTGTCCTGGAGTAAATTAACCATTCATTATAGTCATTGCGCTCTGTAGAGTTGCTATTTTCTCTATATTTTTTTGTGTAATTAACTCGTGACATTCCTGGATTACTCATTATATTAATAGTCAGATTTAATCAAAACGTATGATAGTCCGTTTTTAAAAAGGTTAAGGTTACAAGACTGTGTACATACAGTGCATTCGGAAAGTATTCAGACCCCTTGACTTTTCTAAATTTTGTTACGTTACAGCCTTATTCTAAAATTGATTAAATTGTTTTTTTTCCCCCTCATCAATCTACACACAATACCCCATAATGACAAAGCAAAAACAGGTTTTTAGAAATGTATTAACAAAAAAATAACGGTAATATTACATTTACATAAGTATTCAGACCCTTTACTCAGTACTTTGTTGAAGCACCTTTGGCAGCAATTACAGACTAGAGTCTTCTTGGGCATGACGCTACAAGCTTGGCACACCTGTATTTGGGGAGTTTCTCCCATTCTTCTCTGCAGATCCTCTCAAGTTCTGTCAGGTTGGATGGGGAGGAGAGCTGCACAGCTATTTTCAGGTCTCTCCAGAGATGTTCGATCGGGTTCAAGTCCGGGCTCTGGCTGGGCCACTCAAGGACATTCAGAGACTTTTCCTGAAGCCACTCCTGCATTGTCTTGGCTGTGTGCTTAGCAACTAGTCTCCCAGTCCCTGCAGCTGAAAAACATCCCCACAGCATGATGCTGCCTCCACCATGCTGCACCGTAGGGATGGTGCCAGGTTTCCTCCAGATGTGACACTTGGCATTCAGGCCAAAGAGTTCAATCTTGGTTTCATCAGACCAGATAATCCTTTAAAGCATTTCATGGCTACAGAAGTGGCGTTTTGGGGCACAGGGACTATGGTGGTCTGCTTGAAACATGTAGGCAATCTTTTAGGCAACTGAGGAATCAATGTGTAAGACTAATCAGAAAGGCTAAATCTGATTATTACGTAACCACCCTTTAAGATTGTAAGGGGAATCCGGCTAAATTCTGGAAAATTGTCAAATCTCTGAAGGGTTGCACTTCCTCCTCTCTGCCCCAACAAATTAAATCAGACTCAAATCAAATCAAATCAAATTTTATTTGCCACATGCGCCGAATACAACAGGTGCAGGCATTACCGTGAAATGCTTACTTACAGCCCTTAACCAACAACGAATTTTTTTTAAAATAAAAAAGTACAATAAAACAACAACAACAAAAAAGTGTTGAGAAAAAAAGAGCAGAAGTAAAATAAAATAACAGTAGGGAGGCGATATATACAGTGGGGGGTACCGGTGCAGAGTCAATGTGCGGGGGCACCGGCTAGTTGAGGTAATATGTACATGTGGGTAGAGTTAAAGTGACTATGCATAAATAATTAACAGAGTAGCAGCAGCGTAAAAAGATCCGGGTAGTAGTCCGGGTAGCCATGATTAGCTGTTCAGGAGTCTTATGGCTTGGGGGTAGAAGTTGTTGAGAAGCCTTTTGGACCTATACTTGGCACTCCGGTACCGCTTGCCGTGCGGTAGTAGAGAGAACAGTCTATGACTAGGGTGGCTGGAGTCTTTGACAATTTTGAGGCCCTTCCTCTGATACCGCCTGGTATAGAGGTCCTGGATGGCAGGAAGCTTGGCCCCAGTGATGTACTGGGCCGTACGCACTACCCTCTGTAGTGCCTTGCGGTCGGAGGCCGAGCAGCTGCCATACCAGGCGGTGATGCAACCAGTCAGGATGCTCTCGATGGTGCAGCTGTAGAACCTTTTGAGGATCTGAGGACCCATGCCAAATCTTTTCAGTCTCCTGAGGGGGAATAGGCTTTGTCGTCCCCTCTTCACGACGGTCTTGGTGTGTTTGGACCATGATAGTTTGTTGGTGATGTGGACACCAAGGAACTTGAAGCTCTCAACCTGTTCCACTACAGCCCCATCGATGAGATTGGGGACGTGCTCAGTCCTCTTTTTTTTCCTGTAGTCCACAATCATCTCCTTTGTCTTGGTCACGTTGAGGGAGAGGTTGTTATCCTGGCACCACACGGCCAGGTCTCTGACCTCCTGCCTATAGGCTGTCTCATCGTTGTCAGTGATCAGGCCTACCACTGTTGTGTCGTCGGCAAACTTAATGATGGTGTTGGAGTCGTGCCTGGCCATGCAGTCATGGGTGAACAGGGAGTACAGGAGGGGACTGAGCACGCACCCCTGAGGGGCCCCCGTGTTGAGGATCAGCGTGGCAGATGTGTTGTTACCTACCTTTACCACCTGGAGGCGGCCAGTCAGGAAGTCCAGGATCCAGTTGCAGAGGGAGGTGTTTAGTCCCAGGATCCTTAGCTTAGTGATGAGCTTTGAGGGCACTATGGTGTTGAACGCTGAGCTGTAGTCAATGTATAGCATTCTCACGTAAGTGTTCCTCTTGTCCAGGTGGGAAATGGCAGTGTGGAGTGCAATAGAGATTGCATCATCTCTGGATCTGTTGGGGCGGTATGCAAATTGGAGTGGGTCTAGGGTTTCTGGGATAACGGTGTTGATGTGAGCCATGACCAGCCTTTCAAAGCACTTCATGGCTACAGACGTCAGTGCTACGGGTCGGTAGTCATTTAGGCAGGTTATCTTAGTGTCCTTGGGCACGGGGACTATGGTGGTCTGCTTGAAACATGTTGGTATTACAGACTCAGTCAGGGACATGTTGAATATGTCGGAGAAGACACTTGCCAGTTGGTCAGCACATGCTCGGAGTACATGTCCTGGTAATCTGTCTGGCCCTGCGGCCTTGTGAATGTTGACCTGCTTAAAAGTCTTACTCACATCGGCTACGGAGAGCGTGATCACATAGTCATCCGGAACAGCTGGTGCTTTCATGCATGCTTCAGTGTTGCTTGCCTCGAAGCGAGCATAGAAGTGGTTTAGCTCGTCTGGTAGGCTTGTGTTACTGGGCAGCTCGCGGCTGTGCTTCCCTTTGTAGTCTGTAATAGTTTTCAAGCCCTGCCACAACCGACGAGCGTCAGAGCCGGTGTAGTACGATTCAATCTTAGTCCTGTTTTGACTCTTTGCCTGTTTGATGGTTCATCAGAGGGCGTAGCGGGATTTCTTATAAGCATCCGGGTTAGAGTCCCGCTCCTTGAAAGCGGCAGCTCTACCCTTTAGCTCAGTGCAGATGTTGCCTGTAATCCATGGCTTCTGGTTGGGTTATGTACGTACAGTCACTGTGGGGACGACGTCATCAATGCACTTATTGATGAAGCCAGTGACTGATGTGGTGTACTCCTCAATGCTATCTGAAGAATCCCGGAACATGTTCCAGTCTGTGCTAGCAAAACAGTCCTGTAGCTTAGCATCTGCGTCATCTGACCACTTTTTTATTAACTGAGTCACTGGTGCTTCCTGCTTTAGTTTTTGCTTATAAGCAGGAATCAGGAGGATAGAGTTCTGGTCAGATTTGCCAAATGGAGGGCGAGGGAGAGCTTTGTATGCGTCTCTGTGTGTGGAAGTGGTCTAGAGTTTTTTTTCCTCTGTTTGCACATTTAACATGCTGGTAGAAATTAGGTAGAACGGATTTAAGTTTCCCTGCATTAAAGTCCCCGGCCACTAGGAGCGCTGCCTCTGGATGAGCGTTTTCCTGTTTAGTTATGGCCTTATACAGCTCATTGAGTGCAATCTTAATGCCAGCATTGGTTTATGGTGGTAAATAGCCAGCTATGAAAAATATAAATGAAAACTCTCTTGGTAAATAGTGTGGTCTACAGCTTATCATAAGATACTCTACCTCAGGTGAGCAAAACCTCGAGACTTCCTTAGTATTTGATTTTGTGCACCAGCTGTTGTTTACAAATATACACAGACCGCCACCCCTTGTCTTACCGGAGTCAGCCGTTCTATCATGCCGATGTAGCGTATAGCCCGCTAGCTGTATGTTGTCCATGTCGTCGTTCAGCCACAACTCGGTGAAACATAAGATATTACAGTTTTTAATGTCCCGTTGGTAGGATAACTGTAATCTTAGGTAATCTAATTTATTTTCAATGATTGAAGATTGGCTAATAGGATTGATGGAAGAGGCAGTTTACTCGCTCGCCATCGGATCCTTACAA